GACATCATGACAAACTGGGGTACAGTCCCAGCAGCTAAGTCGCGCTCAAAATCCTTGAAGGATAGCAAGTTCAAGAGGCGGCTTCCGTCGGTGTTGACGGAGTCATATGACACAAAGGGGCTATCCTCTTGTCAGTTGGTCAGACGCCATGCGCCATCTTGTCTGCTCACTTGTGTTTTTTGACATAATCCCACGTGCCGTCTGCCGCATAGCTTCCCTCTGCCATATAGCCTGGTCCAGGGAGGCCTTCGAAGTAACCCCTCCAGCTTATGTCCTTGGACTCCAGTAGATCGACAATGGTGGACACATTGGCAGGTATTCGAAGAGGTTCATCGTGGTCGAGACCGAAGTAGTCGCCACCAACGGCAGCTAGGTAATTGGGCTGGCTCGGGTGGGTTTGCGCATAGTATCGAGTTTGGAGGATCCCGAACCGCTTCAAGTCTGCAAAGGCAGGGTCCGCCTCGACTTTGGGAAAGTCCTGTCGGCACCGAGAGTTTACATCAGCGACGATTCGAATAGACACATGGAATGCTGCGTGATCGCAGGTGGCAGGGAGCAGCGTCGTCACGAACCTGGTTCTCTAGCCAAATGCTAATAAATCTATCGAAGGCCTTCCCCGGAACAATTGCAGCTGCCGTACGCAAGGCGCAGCCCAGCAGACCGACGAGGACAAGTAGTAACACCATGTTGTCATCTGGAGGGTGAGGGCGCGTCGACATCTACCTTATTCATGCCAAGGAATGCGTACGCTTGCCATTGTGGCGGCCGGCAACTTCAAGTTGGCGATGCAGGGCAGTTCCAGATGTCGCTGGAGGCAGAACGGCTCCATCGCACGGCCGGACATGGGGATCCACGTTTCGCGTAGGCCCGGCCCGGGGTAAGGTAAGGAGCCCCGGAGTGGACTGGACAAGCCACAGCGGACTTTCAGCCACAGGGAGTTGTGGCTTTGCTACCCATCCAGTGGTCTTACATCGGTTCTCGTGCACTATTACAGCCACTGGCTCTCTTTCTTGCTTGACTACAACGACATGAAGCTTCTCGTTTGTATATTGAGCAAGTATGATGCGCGATGGATCCAACTTACACCCGCAATGTGAAGTGGTGTCTACGGGGTAATGAGTCCAGCAGCGGACTAAACTAAGCGCTTCCTGGCTCTCGCGCAGGAGACAAGTCCGAGCTCCGAGGTCATAAGTCCGATTATCCCGTAAGCAACGCGCGTAAGCATTGAGCTTCACTCCTCGTCAGGACTCCCATATACCCAGTTTGGTCCGTGTTGTTTCGGCTAATCAATCTGATAACTGAAGACCAGAAGTTTTCCTGTGATGCACGGTACCGGCACCATGGCCAACCGTCAACCCTCAAACGGGATCAGCTTGAAGCACTTGCTCGAGGACGATGGACATGGCCAGCCGGAGGGAAACGATGATGAACACCAAGAAGGTAGCAATCGCGAGCACGAGCACGAGCCCACTCGCAAGCGGCAACGGATACGGCTCAGCTGCTTGGAATGCCGTCGGCGAAAGCTAAGCTGCTCGCGGGAGCTACCCTGTGACCGCTGCCTGAAGTCAGGGACTCCTGACCGGTGCACATACGAGTCTAGACCGGGCGGACCAATAACATCGGTAACACCTAGCGGCGAAAGGACCTCTTTTCCTCTCAATCCTCCCCTGGGCCCTTACGGTGCTGAGACTCGGCGTCTACCCACGAGTCATCAAGTTGTTCGCCGAGATGGTGATGGACCGTTTTCCAAAGATGCAGCAAGAGAGCATGAGCGAGTCCGCAAGCTAGAGCTTGAAGTGGCCAGGCTAAGGAGTGCGCTTTCTAAGCAAATTTCGGTAGACGGAAGCACTGTCACTGCTTCGCCAGCGGTCTCCAAGGATGCGAACAAAGACATCCCGACCGACAGACCGGGCTCGGCAGCGGTCGCGGACAGGACCTCGGAGTATGATATCAACGTCATTAGAGGCAATTGCTTCCGGACTCGGTTCTATGGCCCCCACAATGCCTGGTCGTCACTCCGCGACTTGACGGGCATCACCACCTTCATGAAAGAGACGGCAGAACAATGGCTGACGCCGCTGAACATATCCAAGAAGGATCGTCCCAAACGACGAGCGGATCGACGGAAGAAATTCGCTGAGCCAGACGCATTTCTCGAGTCACTCTTACCGCCAGAAAACGAGACTGACTCTCTTGTGAAGTTCTATCTGGACCAGTTTGAACCACTGCACCGGATTGTTCACATCCCGACATTCATCAAAGAATACGAGGGTTTCTGGGATTCGACGAAAACGAGAAGTGCTTCGCTTACTGCTCTCGTGTTGTCCATCATATCTGTATCCTGCTGCTTGGACACGGAGGTAACTGGCAAGTTCGTGGGCATCAAGTCGAGCCTCTTTCAGACTGCTGAAAAATGGGTAACGGCATGCGAGGACTGGTTGTCTCGCCAGAGTCAGAAGCACCGACACCTGGTGCATTACCAGATTGCATGCATGCTGTTCCTCGCCAAGAGAGTCAACGTCATCAAGAAGAAAAGATACTGGACAGGCGCTGGCGCGATGATCCGCGAGGCCGTCGCTATCGGTATGCATCTTGATCCGGACCATGTGATGTCCGACTCAGACTCCAAGCCCTATCTGTGTGAGATGCGGAGGAGGCTTTGGGCAAATATGATCGAATTTGATGTCCAAGCTTCCTTCGATCAAGGACTGCCGACCTTGATGAGCCAGATCAACAATGATACGAATGCGCCGAGGAATATTGACGACGATGACTTTGACGAAAGTTCCGAGCAGCTGCCTGTGTCACAACCACGCACGAGATATACAATGTCTTCATACGCTCATATCAGTCGTCAGAGCCTCTCGCTCAGGCTAGATCTTAATAAGCTGCTGGCGGGACCTCCCATAGACCTTGAATGGGAGCAAGCTCTTCAGTACAGCGATATGATCATGCAGGAGATTGATGCACTGCCATCCTGGGACCTTGATACCAAAGACGACGAGGAAGTGTCACCCAAGCCCCTGCTGGCTCACACATTGCTGCATATCCAACTCAGGCAATACCTCATACCCTTATATCAGCCCTATCTGAGATTACGCAAATATCACTCGAAGTACCAAACCGCACATTTCCTCTATTACAGCACCGCTCGCGACCTCATTCTGATGCATGACCGCTTGTTTCAGAAAGGCATTCGGACGTTGTACTTCTTGCGCGAGGACGCCATGCACGCCGCTCTCAACCTTTGTAGCGTGACCTTTCAGCAACCCAAAGGTATGCCCAGTCCATCATGTCCTCCTTGGTATCTGTTTTAGCTAACGGAACAACAGGCAGTACCAGCATAATCCTGTCGAATGCCCAAGAGACCTTGCATCTTGTGGAGAAAACGATTGCCTTGAAGGAAGACCGCATTCTTCGATGTGGCAATAACGAGCCGTGGATCTATTCGTCGATATGCGCGGCCTACGGGCTCCTGGAGACTCACCTGGGCGTTAAGACGATGGAGGCTGCCAAGGCCTCCGCTGCAGAGCGCTTCATCGGTCTTCACTATAAGTTGCTGGCATACCAGGCCTCTCCGTTTCCCATTCACCCTACGCCACCCAATACGGCGACACCGCCGTCGAACCGTGATACTACCAACGACCCCCCTGTAAGTCGAATACAAGTCTCCCTCTCGTTCCATCTCTCGTAGATTGGCTGATCTCTTGTTGCAGACCGTCGGTCCCTTTTCGGGTGCCAGCCCTGCGATGCCAATTGGGAACACATCGTATCAGCCCGAAGGCACTACCCGAGATGGGATGGCTGCCACTTTGCCCTGGCTCCTACCGCAAGCGGATGCGAGCCAGCTTCTTGTTCCAAACCCAGACATCAACTTCGGTATGTTGGGTTCGGACCTCAACGAGCTGTGGGGAGATTTCGGAGGCCTCGACTTCTCGTAGATGGCGCCCCGCGCTGGCTACCAATCGGTTCTAGATCGCTCGATCTGGAGTCATCGTCGTGTTGTAAATACACCAACTCGCCTCTCGTGTCTGTACCTAGATAAACAATCCACTCGTGATACCCCTCCAAGCTGACGTTCGCTGCGGTGACTGTCGGATCGGCGGCACGGCTTGGGAGGGAGCTGAGCCTAGCTGATGACGCTGGTGATAACGACAGACAGAGTGCATGTTCTAGAGTAGATAAAACGAGTGAATACCAGTTGTTGTACTTCGATAACCATGGCGCGGTCGCTGGCTAGCGTGGGAGCTACAGTGCTAGGAGGCTCTTAGGTCCGCCTGTGTGATCACACGTTCGCACCGCGCCCGCCCCAGACCATCAGGTACACTCATCATCTCGATCGTTATCTTGCAGCCCTGGACAACTAGAATGCTGCTACTCGACATTGCGGTGCGCCGTTCATGAGCCATCACGGCGCGGAGCCTAGAGAAGGTAACAATTAAGCGCGTCTCCTGCTTCTAGTCGCTCCTAGAGCAGGCTGTTATAGCTTCCTCGGAGAGATAGCGAGCCCAGGTGCATTGGTTCGATTCTGGAATCATGGAATTCGCAATCCGCAGTGACGGGTACCTCCACGGTGAACGCCCCTGCGGCAAGAATAACCGGCGTTATCAATCAACCATCATGGAAACGTTTGCTGGGCCTGTCAAGCTAGCTCTATCTATATGCTACTTTGCTAACAATAATCGTTCCATGGGAATTAACAATGACGAGTGGGGGGCTTGGCCGATGCAGAGTTGAATGGCCGACTCGGGAAAAACCGTGTTCGTCAAGGCTGCGAATGCATCGCCGTGATGAGAGAGCAGATCGGCGCAGAGATGGTCGGAAGAAGATAAAGTTCGACGGTGCCGGCGCGGCCCGGACGTGCATGCAGCGACAGCAGGATATGCTAGAGGAAGAAGCGCAAAGAAGAAAAAGAGAGAATAAAAAAAGGAAGATAAAACGACAGACATGTATACTGGGCAAAAGCAAAGAGGAAAAAAAAGAAGATTCAACTGTTTCTACTCCCCCGGACAGGCTTGAACTGTCAACCTCCTGATTGCGATTCTGTTTCGAATAACAGTCAGACGCGCTAGCCAATTGCGCCACGGAGGATGTTGAAGAATCCAGATGATTGGTGATTGAATCTGGAGAGCAGCGCCATTTACCGCACCTTATATGAGCTGCCACGGATCGCCCTGACTAATGGCTACTTGCTACGGCATGGAACCCGTCCTAGTGTCCTTTACTTGGGTTGGCGACGACCTCATCTGAAGTGGGTTCACCTAGGATTATCGGGCCATTCCCCGTGCCAAGTCCGGAAACGCGGCACTGCGGAGGGCCCTGAAACCCCTCTATGGGCTCCCCAGTATCTCGACCTCTCCGCTGTCCCTGGCGACATCTCTCGCCGTTTCTCACGCACGAGTGTCGAGGGATAGGTAAACCTCATGCCAAACCAAGACAACCCAATTATGACTGCAGGACCACATCTCTCGACCACAGCATTTTCAGGAACACCTAATTAGATCGAGATGGAATGTCTGGACGAGGATCTGCCTGCATGTGATCGGTGTCAGCCATGCATCGGAAACTTGCTAGGTGGGTAACCAAGACAGGCACAATATCACTACTAGGACGAGGCATACGAATATAAGACTATTCGCCGGAACATGGGACGGGCCATCTGACTTAATGGTCTTCGAATAGATCTAGACTTTTCATTCATTCGTATAGACTAGGCATACATAATCATCAGCTTACAAGATCATGGCTAACCAAACCAACCGCCAAAGCAATACTCAAGAACTGCTCGACGAAGCGACTTTCTCGTTCTCGATGTCCTTCTTATGCTCACCTGCTTCGGTCCTCTCCTCGTCCACCGGCTGACCCTTGACGATAGCCACCGGGTTGTCCGCGAGATCGCTCTGCAGGATAGGCGGGCCCGAGAAGTGCTTGCGGCCCCAGACGAAGTACCAACCAACACTGATGAGGCCGAAGCCGGCAAAGACCACACTGGCGTAGTTCATGGTGGACGCGTCGAGGCCGGAGAGGTTGGTGGGCATGCAGAAGAGGAAGATGGCGAGGACGATCCAGAGCAGGGTCGTAACGTTGATGACATAGCCGGCGCGGCCGAGGGAGAAGGACGCGCGGCGCAGCTTCTTGCGGCCCGTCAGGATCGACACCAGGATCGGCAGGCCGTACGACGTCGACAGGCAGATGGTGGCGACGCCGGTGAAGCTGCTGAACGCGGCCGAGGAGCCGAAGTAGATCAGCCCCAGCAAGCAGTCGACGATGGTGGACAGGGTCAGGGCCCACAGCGGCAGGCCGAAGCGCGCGTCCACGCGCTTCCACAGGCCGGAGCCGGGGATGGCGCCGTCGCGGGCGAAGGCGTAGGTGCAGCGGGAGGAGGCGGTGAGGGCGCCGACGCCGGCGAAGAGCCAGATGCCGAGGATGAGGAGGAGCAGGCCGAAGCCGCCGCCGGCGCTGCCGGTGGCGTTCTTGAAGACCAGGCCGATGGGCTGGCCGTTGGCGACGTCGAGCAGGGTCTGGATGTCGGGGAGGACGAAGAGCACGGGGATCAGGTAGGCCAGGCCGGTGAGGCCGGCGGCGACGACGGAGAGCACGATGGCCTTGGGGACCTCGCGCTCGGGCGACTGGACCTCCTCGCACATGGCGGCGACCATGCCGTAGCCGGTGAGCACGTAGGCCGGCTGCAGCAGGCCGACGAAGAAGGACCAGCCGTAGGGCCAGCCGGAGGCGCCGGCGTCGTAGTGGGCGAAGACGAAGTCGGCGGGGCGGCGGCTGGGCGCCATGGCCAGCAGCACCACCAGGAAGACCAGGATGGAGATGCCGGTCCAGTAGATGCACAGGGTGTTGATGGTGTCGAGGTAGCGGGAGCCGAAGACGTTGATCAGGTAGCAGGCCAGCATGCAGGCCCAGAAGCACAGCACCGTCTGCCACTCGTTGGCCACGAAGCCCTCGTCCCACAGCGAGATGGCGCTGAGGATCAGCTGCGCGCCCCCGAAGTTGATCGACAGCGTCACCGTCCAGTTGCCCACCAGCGTCAGCCACCCCGTCACCCAGCTGGCCATCGGCGCCCACCGCGGACTCGCCAGCAGCGCCGCCCAGTAGTACACCCCGCCCGCCGTAGGGTAGACCGAGCAGATCTCGGCCAGCGACGCCGCGATGGCGGTCGACAACAGCGACAGCAGCACCCAACCCCAGATGATGGTGACCGACTGCCCGTTCGAGAGGGTGATGTAGAAGGTGGTGCTGAGACCATACGGAACGGCCTATTTACAGCACAACACAGGTGAGTCGCCTGTCAATTCTGCAAGGGTCTTCTACTTCCAGAAACTCTTCTTGACGACGTACCATAATCGCAAACGAAAGACCGAGAACACTCAGCATGCTCAGACTCCGCGGCAATTCGGCCTTGTAGCCCAACCTAGCCAGGTCTTTGTCGGCGGCCGCCGCCTGGTCGCTCGAGCGACGCGCGGGTTGAATGCCGCTGCTACGTCTTGAGTCCGACATGGGTCGGGGTTTGCGATCGCGCTGGGGGGGAGGAGGGGGTGGTGTTGAAACCGAGGACGACGATGGGATTGTCGTTGGAAGAAGGTGAGGGACGGTGAGTCAAAAGAGAGAGAGAGAGCCGCACGAGGGCAGCGAGACCCAGGGTCTTGGGGCTCCTCTCGAAGAACAAGCCGTCGATCCCACCCACGCCAAGGCGAAAGATAAAGCTAAACTCAGAGGCACTCGCCCACGCGGCTAGAGGTCGCAGGCGAGGCAGGCGGCACGTCACACGTGCAGGGAGATATGTATGCGTGGCGCGCGTGGGCAGACGGCGGAAGGAATGCCAGGATGCTACCCCAGATCATTGATAAAGTGAGAGCGAGACAGGGGTCAAAGGACCGATTGGAGATAGAGGAAGAGAGGCCGAACTGGTTCTTTAAGATCATGGATGGCAAGCCACCGCGAATGTCTTCGTGGGCGGGTGCGGGGACTCGGAGGGGTTTCGCAGGGCGGACGGACGGGCAGCGGTCCAGCGGACGGGGCCCTTGGGGTCTCACAGGTCGGGGATGTAAACCGATTGAAAGGGGGCAAAGAGGGTGCGGCCTAGAGACTCTAGAGGGGCCAGCGTGACAGCGTCCAGTTTAGCGGTTTGCGAAGAAGCCCTGAAGCCATCGCTTAACCTAGGTTGTTACCTGGTAAGGTACAGTACAGCATTACAAGACGAGTTGACATCACGAAACCGACTCGCGTGTGTTCCTCCGCGCGCATCGGCTTGCCCGCCTGGGAATAACCCCTAGCGATCAAGGCGACCCAAGATCTAGAACGGTTCAGCATCCCCGAACCCCACACACACACACCATCACCAGCTATCTTTTAGTTAGGTACCTCTCCACGACCTCCTCAACCCCGTGACCACCTCACTCCAGGGTCTTTCGCGAAACCGTTTCATTGCTTTACGAAATCAACCCAGCAAGCGTGTTCCTAAGGAGCGAAGACGACGAATGGGTCAGCCAGTTCCAGGGCTTAGCTGTCGCAAGCTCCGGGGAAGATGGGGAAGATGGGGGAAGGGAGGTAGCGCTTCTCATCACTCACCGACACGCGATCGAACGATTCGTCGTAGAACACCTCGAAGCGACTGGTGACACCGGGGCTGACGCCCTTCTGTCGTGGTTGCAACCGCGTCGTGTACTTCCTGTACAGGGCCGCCATCAAGGTCGTCATTTCGGCCATCGCCAGACTGCGGGGATCAGCACCTATGTTGATCGAAACGAGAGGGCATGAATCCACGGGTAACAGGAAAGGAACAGCGGCTTGGTAACGAGCTCGAACTCAACCGCACAGCTGCGTTAAGTAGGTACTTACTGGATGCCAATGCACATCCTCCCGCCGCTAGAAAACGCCCACCAGTATTTCTTCATCTCATTCACGTCGCCGAGCCCGCCCAGCCAGCGCTCCGGCCGGAAAGCGAGGGGCTCCGGGAACACCTCCGGGTTGCGGTGCAGGGTATACGGGGCCATGCCGACGACGGTGCCGGCGGGGACGCGATACCCGTCGACGAGCGCGTCCGCGGGGAGGGCGCGGGGCTCCGACGCGGGCAGCGGCGCGTGCAGGCGCAGGGTCTCCTTGATCAGCGCATCGAGGAAGGGCAGGCGATCCGCGGCCTCGGCGGCGGGGTTGCCGTCCGCGTTGAGGGCGGCGGGCGGGAGGGCGCGCACCTCGCCGACCAGCCGCCGCTGGTACGCCGCGTGCTCGGGGCGCGACAGCTGCCAGACCAGGAACAGCAGCGTGTCGCTGGTCGTGTCGATGCCGGCGAGCAGGTGGTCGGCCGCCTCGGACGCGCAGTCCAGCCCGTCGAGGCGGCCCTTGCCCGCGAGCTGGTGCGCGCGGAGCTTGCTGATGATCGGCTCGTCGGAAGAGGAGGAGGAGGAGGGAGAGGCGGCCGCTTCGTAGCTTTTCCACGAGCGCAGCGCGTGCGCGCGGATGCCCGTGTACGTCGCGGGCTTCGCCATGGGCAGCAGCCCCAGCCTCGTGACGATCCGCTCCGTCGCGCCCGTCCGCGTGTACAGCCAGCCGGTGTAGGACGTCAGGTGCACCGCGAACCAGCTCAGCACGCGGCGGCGGTGGTCGACGATGTCGAGGAGCAGCGCCCGGCTCGCCGCGTCGCCGCGCAGCGCGTTCGTTCCCCCGTGACGATCCCCGTATAGGAAGCCGGTGATGCTGTCCAAGCTGAACCAGTGCAGGCTGCGGAATATCTCCCGGGCCTCCTCGCCCTCCGTCTCGATGAGGTCGAGGAACGCCTGGACGTTGCGCTCGACCAGCGGCTTGGCGATGCCTTGCGGGGACAGGACCGCGCTCTTCGAGTACGCGTGCGCCAGCACCTTCTTCCGCTCGCCGTGATCCCTGGCGCTGGCGAAGGTGAACAGGTTCTGGCGCCCGTAGACGTCGAACATCCGGTAGAACCCGGTGCGCTGGAAGCCCGACCCGGCACCGTAGATGGTGCGCAGGGCCGAGAGCGAGGCGAACGACACCTCGTTGGGGCCGATCCGCACCGCGGGGCCGTACCGCTCGTGCAAGGCGTGGATGACGGGCGTCCGGGTGCCTCG